ATGAGAATCCTTTGAGTGGGTTGGATTTAAGTTAACAAATATTTTAGCCCAATAATCTGATGAAGAGGAAAACATCAACATTTTTCAACTTTTTAAAATCTGATAAAACATGTTAAAGGACTTGATGAATGAGTTTAACCCTCTGATGATGTTGTTTTCTTAAAAAATGGTTTACATTTATTTATTTACATTTATCAGAGCCAGAAGTTGCAAAAAGAAAACAGAATCATCATATTTTCGCCCTTTTGAGGATGTTCTCACTAATCTCGTGCCGTTCGTCAGGAAAATTAACTAAACATATCGGACGCTGTTGAGTTCTCTTGACTTTACTCCTCATGGTTGTGCTGTTTCCATAGAGGTGTACGACTTTATACTGCAGTGCAACTCAGTAAACAACAGCTCTATGATTCCAGCAAAGCTTTTGGTGAAAACTTCTCATCTAAAATTTTCGGCCAATTTGTCATCTTTTGATGTCCGACTGTAGAGAAGTGACGGATAAGAAGGAGAAACGGAGTAAAGGTCACACAAGAGAGGTGTGAGGCCAAATACAAACAGGAACATCTTGCACCATTCAGACACTATGATGTCCTGCAGTTTTCAATAATCAATGCTACGGGCAAAGCTCGATTCAAAGGGTTCGATACTCTGCCTGTTAAACGAGCAATACGTCAACCAAACGCTGCAATTAAAGGCGTTAGACGTTAATGTTGTACAAAGATTAACGTGTGTTGAATTTTCCAGAGGAAGCGCATGCATCAGGCTCGTGGTGGGTCAAGTGAATCACAAAGGGCGCACATCCCCATGCATGCACACACACACACACACCCACACACACACCTGAACCAGCTGCAGCCTCTGAGAAGGTCAGAGGTTAATGAGACTGAAGACCTTGTCCTGGACCACCCACCCTGCCCCGCACAGCCCATAAAATACACTAACATATCTACATTTAATAGGTGTAAAAACCATAAAATCATCTAAATCAGAGAAGTGAAAACATGAATGATGAGATGAAGTCACCTGCCTCCACATTCTGGTGTCTGACTATACATCCCTAAAAAAAGATGACGGTCAAATTTGGGCTGGGCAGATTACTTATCATAATCTGATAACAATGTTTCTTAAGCCTTATCTGCCTTTAATTATATAGATTTAGGCCTCATTGTCCACAGCACAATGACCCAATGAATACCATGAAAAGACATCATGGAGGCTGGCAGACAGAGGAACATGAGAGCTGCGGCGACCGGTTGCTAGGAAGCAAATATGGCCTCATCAATGCATCAGTGGTTCCTCTAACAACATAATCTTTATGAAAAACAAATTGGCCGATCGCATTCATCTGTAGATGTCAAAGAAAACACGTGGGCCTCCTGAATAACCCGTGAAAAGCATGACTTAACTGGCTGGTACGACCAAACCTTAGTCATCTGATCTCAGAGAAACAAAGGAAATACCTTCTGTCAACAGACAGCAGCCGCTCGTTTCTGCGTCTCCACATCCTGCTCTTCAGATGAAGTTAATGGAGCTGACTGATGATTCAACGCTGCTGTTTATAGACTTCCAGCCGCATCACGCTGTAAACTCACCGCGTCACACATTTCAACGGTCCAAATGAATTTATTCTGAGCAGGGTGTGATTCAAAAACTAACCAAATGAACGACAGGATTTTAGTTTTACACAAAACAGTCGCTGCTTTGAACAATTTGATTTTTTTTTTGTTGTGATTTTAAATAATGATACACGCGCGCTTTCTTGCTGAGAAAAAATAAGCTGATTGTGAGTGCGGTTAGCTTAGATTAGCACCAAGTAGAGCTGAGGTGAATAATCAGTTAAATGATTAGGGGACAACTATAAAAATAATTGCAAACAGAGTCATTTTTCAAGTATCAAAAGTCTAAATTCTCTGGTTACAGCTTCTTAAATTTAAATATTTTCTGCTTCTTTGCTCCTCTTCGACACTAAACTGAATATTTTTGGTTGCGGACAAAAGATCTTTGGTTTTGGGAAACACCGATCAACGTTTTTCACCACGTTTTGACTTCTATGGACGAAGCGACTCATTGATTAATCGAACACCCATCAGATTAGTCCACGATGGAAATAATCCGTTTCAGCGCAAGCAACAGGAATGGAGACGAGGGCACAGTAATGAAATCTCTAAAATAAATCTAAATCTCTAAAGGCCACAATTCATCTTATTTGCTAAATCTGTATAAAGACCAAAGACGGAGAATAACAAGATCCTATAATGTCTTACCGTCACCGTCAGGTTTACCAGCAACAAGATGAGACTCCAGTTATTGAGCTTTGGAGATGCTAATAGACGGATGTTTTAAGAAAATAAGTGTTTTCTGTGTATTTTTATGTGTGTATATGTCTATGTATTAGTCTATATTATATTATTGTTTATAGATTTTTATGTATTATATTCTATGTATTATTTTTTTAGGTATTTTTCAATGCATTTCTATAATTATTTCAATTATTTTTGTTGTGTGTTTTAGTTGTTTTTGTTTTTTCTTTTATTTTAACTTGCTTGGTTTTGATATTTTATCGTCTGGACCCCAGGAGGACCAGCTGACGTCTTGGTGTCAACTAATGGGGATCCTTTTAAATTAACAAACAAACAAATAGATGGATGTTCTTACATGTGGACAAAGTCAGTCTACCTGATTCCTTGTTTCCAGCGTTCAGGCTAAGCTAAGCTAACTAGGAGCTGCCTGTAGATTCACATTTATCATCATCCAGGTAGGAGAAAAGCATCAATGTTCTTGTCTGCCTCTAAATAAGAAAGGCAGTACGTGCAGTTCCAAAAATGTTGACCTGTTCCTTTAATGAAGAAGTTCCAGAAATGTTGATAGACATGGGTCAAGGTCTGGATCCCAGAGTTTCCCACAACACAACAAACTGTCTATTTATAAAACTGCCTGATAAACATCCTTTTCACAGTTAGTGGCGCATGTTCTGTTCTTTTTCTTTCCCTTTCTGTTGACTTTCTTTGTGAACATTTAGTTTCAATAATATTTATAAAAAATGAAAGCTCCCTCCTACGGTTGACCATGACTCCTTGTGTACAGTGGAGTAATCTGAGTATTGATTTGCACCTCTCAGCTCCATCAGACATGGAGGTACCTGAGTCTGTGTGAAGATCTGGGCCTTCTGGCACTCCTCCAGACTCGGGGCGAAGCTGGCCATGACGTGCTCCTCGGTACCGATCATCTGCACTATCTCTTGGTCGCTCTCGACGCCCATACCCTGCGCGAACAACAAGCAAACGGTGTGATGTGATGTGAAGGATGCGGGGAAGAGAATCTGATGTAACATAAAAATCCATCTGAGTTTTGGATTATCCAGATGAAGGCCTCATGCGGCTGAACAAACACACAGGAGACATTTTGTAACCAGAACAAGACGAGGAGACACAAGGCGGCGTGTAAGTGTGTTTGCAGGGAGGGAGAGGTGAACCGGGAGTCATAAGGTCGTCTGACATTTGCTTATGGAAATGTGAAGCTGTGGGAACTGATGCGTTCGTCCCACAATGGATCTGAGGCGTTTTTTTGCAGCCGCTGCCAAACAGAGGCGGTGAAGAAGTCACCCAGGATGTACAACTGTAGATGAAGACACCTGACGCTCACAAGGTAACATGTTTGGAGAGGTTGGTCCTCTGAGGGGGGAGAAGTTCATGACACCAGCTGTCTGAGTGACATTTAACTGAGCACAGGATCAATCTGTTGAACAACTACTGACTTCTAAATAACTTGAATGAAAACCTCCAAGTACAGGCACTTATTATTTATGTCTCAGAGACGGTTAAAGAGAAACAAAACCAGACTTCTACATGTTCAGATACAGGAAACAGAAACGTCTTTAGTTCAGGGTGTGGAGCGACAACATCAAAAACAACAACAACTTCATCTGAAATCATCTCGCTGTGTTGCGGCGCCACCTGCTGGACGCTCGGCAGCACACACGCCCGTACCTTGAATATGATGGCGATGGGAGCGTCCTCAGACAGAGTGTTGTGTCTCAGGTAGAACCTGCCTTGTTTTACAATCATATTGGTTCTGCTTTTCTTTTCATGAGTAGAGCTGGAATGAACAGGAGAGAAAGAGAACATGAGACGTTTCATATAAAATAAGGGAACACTGAGAACACAGGAACAGCAGAACTTCTAATAGAAAAAATGTCTTTCTTGCTCCTGACACATGAGACACTTTCAGGTCATAACAGTGACTCATTGTCTTTTATCAGCTTAAATTCATGTTGTAGCACTTGTATATATTTCACTACAGGAGAATTAAATTACTGAGACTGTAAGAGATGAATCTTTCTATCTGGAAGGTAAAAGTCAGACAAAATCCTAAAATCTGTTTCCTCGATAGTAGAAAAGCTTTTTTGTTTGATTTGACTCCTGTCAACATCCACAGTAAAGTCTTTTATAAATTTCTGACTTCGAAAAGGAAAAAGAAGTTGGATTTCCTGACGGCAATTTAAATAATTACTTGGCTGAGACTCACTGACATTGTGCATTTGAGGTTTCATACAGTTTATTCTTAGTTGAATAAAATAGATTTTTTATTCTGTCACTGGTTACCGGAGATGTTTCAGTACCTGGTCACCGAGGCTCCGACTGCACCCTTCCTGTCCTGCTCCACGATGATTCGATTCTTAGACAGCTGTTCTTGGATCAGGATGACTTTCTCCTGACCTTTCACAATAAAATAACCTCCTGTGAATGAAAAGAACACGGTGCAGTTAAACAGCAGAGCCACTGGCAGCAAATCACCTTCTACAGAATCATTGTTAGATAGTTTGACGTTAAGATCGTGTGTTTGATTAGCTTCGAGGTGACTGTTTTATGTACCTGGATCCAGCGGACATTCGTTGAGCTTTGAAAACTCCATGGGCGTCTTTCCTGTGAGAACACAGTTGGAGCTCCGCAGCATGATCGGCATCCTGACGACAGCACAATTAAATATGTTAACATGAGAGCTGCTGCAGTAAAATAGAATTGTTGCTGTGCAGAAAACTGCAAGTGAACAAAGAAAAATGGAAAGAAACAGATGGGAGCATTTTTCTGCAGTTAAGTGGAAAATATTTGTTGTTTGCTGGCGAGACTTGAACGTAAAGATTAGAGATGTGTTCATAAAATAAGAAAAAAATCAGATACCTTCCAATGGGCAGCGCGTTACGAATGATTCTCTGACTGCCGCGGGTGTACTCGATGTCCACTGTGATGGGCGCTGAGTAGGTCATGTCTCTGAGACGACACTGTGGAAACCAATGATGAGCTCATCAGTGTGAAAACATCCAACATGTGGATGTGTAAACACGAACAGTCTGTTCTCAACTGCATCACGTCATCTGAAAAAGGCTGCAACGTTGTAGGTTCATTGTATTATATGTTTATTTTGCCAAAAACATCCCCATTAGGGCAACAGCTAACTGTTCATTTACATATAGATTTATTAATATTATTGTTATTGGTCCTCATACAAGACAATGAGTCTGTGTTAACTAGTTTGACAGAAATCGATGCATTTTGGTTTTATTTCAGACCATTTTCTAAACAAAACTACCGATTATGCTGAAGTCAATGAAATCTAAATTAGTAGAACTGGTTAAGGAGAAGATAGCTACTTCACTGATCCTTTTACAGGAAATTACTTGTTACAGCAGCTACATTAAAAGAAAAACACAGACAACCCCACAAGACACCCGACATTGAAAGCTCACATAAAATATAAAACAAAATATACAACATAAAATAAAAATAAGATAAATAAATAGGTCCCCAGTGTGCAAAATTAGCCTGCGCAAAAGATGGATTTTAAAAACGCATGTACATAAAGTGTCATAGTTATGAAGCCATGTGGTTTTAAAAATCAACTCCTATACAGGAAAAAAAAACTCTTGTATTTGAGTCAGCAATGTGACACATGATCCATGAAACTTCCACAAAATATCTAGAAAATATGCATCATGCGCCCTTAAAACTCAAAGGATTTTTACTAACTGTCCAAAACCCAGAAATACTTAACTTACAATGATTTTAAACAGGAAAAAAAACTCACATTTGAGAAGCAGCAATACTGTCCACTGCTGCATTCTTAATAAATTGTTGTTAATGAACTTTCTGTCCTTTTAGTAACTTGTTGTGTTGGACGATAGTGATACAGAGGATGGAACTCACCTCATGAGGAGAGACCGGTCTGGTCACGTTGAAGCTTTCTTCAACGTCAGGCATGCCAACATAAATATTGAGGTATCTGCAAACACAACATGTCTTTTAGATTTCTTTTAAACTCAAACCTGTATCTGAAACGTTCAGCGTCTCCGTCAGGAGTTCGGTAATGTGGCTACTTGGTGACTTACTTCAGGTACCACATCGGATCAGCATCACTTGTGATTTTCTCATTTGCTTTCATAATTTTCTTTATCTGGAAAGAAAACACAACATTGAAATCAAGATGCAACTGAAACACTCGTAACATGCGCTCATGTCTGGGTCGTGTTTTACCTCCACGTTGATGAAGTAGTTGAACGAGTCGATGTGCTGCTTCACCAAACCTTTTACCTGCAAAACACACGACACGTGAAAAACTCAAGAAAAGGGAAAGTTATGGATAAGTAGAGTTCATGGTGTGAGATGTATGTTGTGTTCAAATGAATGATGAGACACAGACCTCGTATCAGGTCCCTGTCACACGGCTTTACTTTGTGTTGGATCATTTTAAAGGAAGGACATTTTAATTTAAGACAGAAGCTACATTTGTAGATGTCGAAGTTTTTTCTGACATTTGCTAAATAATTAATAATGATCGTCAAAAAAATAGTCTACAGACTAACTGATAATAATTGTTAATTACAGTTTTAGGTGGGAGATATCTCAGCATGGATCGGGTGTATGAGGTCATTATGGGCAATGCTTCAAGTAAATGAACGACAGTGTTTCATGGCAATATGTAGTTTAAAGACTCCCTCTGGAGAAAATAGAGTTTTTTTTTTGTTTGTTTTTTTTTTAAATATGCTGGATGACATATCATGAGCAAAATGCTGCAGTGTACCAATGACAAAGTTTTATATGTAATAAATCTCTAAAACCAGCCCTGTCAACCTGCAGAATGCGGCGTTCCATGTTTGGTTTCCGGTTCGAACATGTATGTAAAATGTAAGTAATAAAATATCTCACTTAGCATTTCTACAGTGTTGGTGACACCTGTGAAAAACATTTCCCATGCTGACTCCAGGATTTGTCTTTTTTTTTTAAACAAATAAATAAAACATAAATACATACTATGCTATGGCATTATAACTACGTTATACCGCACATCAGACATTCTGTTCCTCTACTTCTAGTCATGGTTGAGCTGTTTCTATAGAGGTACAAGACTTTATGCTGCCGTGAAATATTGGTGAGGAAAAAACGTGACAGGAACAAAAAAACTGAGGGGGGTTCTGAGGATTAAGGCCTGAAGAAATCATCTCTATGCAAATTATCTCTATGCCATTTCTAAATGTGTAACTTTGATACACAGCGATTACTTTTTAGAGATTCTAGATACACGTTTTAGTTTATTTCATTACGGTGAAGAGTTTTATTGACTGATCAGGTAATCTATTTAGTGTCTAAAACATACTTTGCCTATTTTGCAGTTTTATCCCCCAAAAAATCTTAGTTAAATTCAAGGAAGTGCACAAAATGTTATAAATGAATACAGTGATGTAAAATCCCACACACCAGGATATGATAGAGCATTTCTATCATTTCTCCCACCAATGTTTGCAGATTTATATGAGCAAAGCTGTTCTGTTACCTTCAGGAAGGCTGGTAACAGTTTCCATTTTTCCTGCAAAAATAAAAAGACAAATAACATCAGATTTCACTGAAGTCTGTCATCAGTTTACTTGAAGCTACACGTTTTATTCTCAAGTTATGACTTGCTGCTCACACTAAGTAAATAAATAAACTATATTGTGCCAACAACAACAACAACAACACTACAGACACTCATGCACCAGCAGCAGCCTTGTCCACCTCCACCTCCACTCTGCTGCTCTGTGCTAATAGCCACGTTAGCTTCTCGCTGCTCGTGGTGCTAAACTCTCCGTCCTGCTTCCTTCAAACTCACCGCCACAGTGTTGACAGGAGCCGCCAGCTCCTGAGGACTCATGTCGCTAAACTCTCCTCCCAGGACCTCCATGGTTGACGCCACCGTTCAGCGGCACACACATTAAACTCTGTCAATACTGTCAGTGTTGATAAACGGCGTCGGAAGTGCCTCGAGCATGTGTTCCTCCACGGTGCCCCACCGTAAAACCTCCGTGCGGGCGGGCGGAACCAAAATAAAGAGTTCCGCCTTCAGTAAGTTTGTGGTGCCCAAATTAAAATCAATTAGTCAAAGTCAGTCAAGTCAAGTCAAAGTCGCTTTGTCAGTTCTGTTACACGTGTACACAAAAAGAAAACTGAAATTGCGTTTCTCTCGAAACCTCATTAAAAAAACACAGTTGAAAAAATTTACATACTAAAAAATATTTAAGACAAACATGTAATAAGCTACAAAATATGCAATTTAACCATACTAAAAAATATACAGTCTGACCGTATAATAAGCTTAAAATATAAGTAAACAAACAAGAGAACAGAAGAATTGGCATCTGCATTAACAATAACTGTGGATGATTCATCTGCTGCAATCAAAATGTATGTGTCTTGTTAAACAGTGTCAAACATTAGTTTCTTTTACAGCACTAAATCATCTATCCCACTGCACTGGACTGTTTATGACTGTACATTAAGATTTATTACTGGTACTGAAATTATTATAAAAGTATTCACCTCCCTTTTATTGGTTTTCAACACTGAATCACATTCAATTCGATTTGGTGTTTTTGTTTGTTTGTTTGTTTGTTTGTTTGTTTGTTTGTTTGTTTTTTACAGGGATTGGTGAAAACTAATACTAATATCTGACAAGTAATGTCAGCCACTGATTGCATAATTGCCCTCCTTATTTTAAGTGACTCACTTAATTCAACAATTTTATTTATTTATTTTTTAAAATTCAGTCACTTCACTCTTTAATATTTCTTTACTATTGCTTTTCATCTTTCTTATTTGTGGGCCTAAGTTTTTTGTTTTCTCGCTTGGCTAAATGAGACACTTCGATGTATCCCAAGTTTAATTATAGCTTGAATGAATGAATGAATGAATGAATGAATGAATGAATGAATGAATGAATGCTGGACAGAATGAATACTTTCACTGTATTTCACCCATATTTACAAATGAGGACGATTCAAAAACA